GTATTTAGAGACGGAAGCACAGCCTTTCTCTCGGATACTGGTGACAATTATTCTCCAGTTTCCATTCTCAAGAAGTACATGTAATATGTAATATTTACATGACACGTTCATTTTCACAGCAATTTCCGATCACTCTAGTATCCGTGATTACAAACCGCTAACTAATAAGCCACTCGGCTATACGTGATGTATAGACGTTTTCTAGAGGCACTTAAATAAATAGGCATAAGTAACCCAAACTATACTTTTGCACAGTTTGAGATCAGGAGGTACCTCGGATCTGGCAAAAAACTGATTGTCCAGTATGGGAGATGGAAGACTGCATGCATAGAAACAGATACGTCGACAGGGAAATTTGTTGGAGGTTGGATGTTTCTAAAGGTTTAAGCACTGATTCAATAGATCCATCGTTTATATTTATATTGTGAGCCTCGTTAAAAATTAGTATTAAGAGTGGATTTTTCTGAACGTATTAATATTCTTAATTTGAAGAATGTTATTACTATTATGCCTAATATGTCAGCACAAGAGAAGAATTTATCTAACTGTAAACTATGATTTCAAAAATAGGAAGAGGTAGAAGGCAACAACTTTTGCCTTCTTTTGCTGATATTTCCCTGACTACATCAAATATGGATACAAAATTTACATCAATCGAGAGAGGAACATGTGCCCCTTTCCGATGCTGGCACAATACGGGTGATTCACCGTGACAATAGTGTTCCCCCAAGAGTTTGCAAAGTGTTGACCAATCAGAGAGCGCCAAAGCTGTCGACCCTTTCCAAACGGCCATTGGGAAACAACTCTTGCCATCTTTTACCGATAACCCAGTAAATCCATAAAATACGGATATGAATTTTGCATCAAAGGATACACGAACATGCATCCTTTTCGATTTTGCCAATTTTTAATACTTTTTATACTCGAATACAGGGAGCATTATGCGGAGACAGATCCAGTATGTTTTGGGCCAAGAAAAAATTGCACAAAATACGACCGCAGAGGGCAACAAGCCTTGGCATCTTTTGAAGATATATGCTAAACTACAGCAAATAATTATGTGACCCGCTTTTTGAAAATCAGTCACATTTCACCAGAACCACTTTGGAGTTTAAGACTCTTGAAAGAACCTTGCACAGTGTTTCAGCAAAAGGAACCCTCGAATTTTAACCTATACACAAAGTCCATTTTTAGCATACCTTACTGAGTGACATATCAATGCAAAACACTCAAGTCATTCAATCTTGTCTAGTCAAAGGTGACTGGATGTAAAACTTACATCAATAGATACAGGTGACCTTTCTGCATTTCACCAAGATGGACGGATATGGACTTTTTAAAGACATTTTATACTCCAATACAAGGAGCAATATTTGGGAGAATTGCACGGCAACACGAAGCACTAGGGCAACAATTCTCGCATTCACTTACCGATATTCCCTTAACTACATCCAATATGAATGTGAAACGTACGTCAATGGATAGAGGAATACGAGTCCTTTCCGATGCCTCCACGATTACCAGATTTTGCTTCTACCTACTGGAAGCAAACTCCACTAACAGGATATACTACATGTAGCAGACGTGTCCTGGCTAGCGGATTAATATTAACCCCCTAGGGTGTACGTTAAATCATACTGAAATTGGAGGATTTGGAGCTGTTAGCGGTTAATAGTGGTTCTCCGAGGATGACAGTAGTTAGATCCATGTCATGAAGTTTTGTCTTTAAATGTAGTGACTTGGTGTATGTTTTTAGGCAGTATAGGTTCCAGTCAGCCATGGTTGTTGATCCTTTTAAACGAGTGAGCAAAGGAGATGGCGCATGACTTCTGGGTTTGGATCTTTGCATCAGCTTGAGTGATTTGATACTTGTCAGTGTTAATGGCTACCGTGTCCTACGGTGTATGGAATAGACAGACGTTTAAGAACGAGCAATATACAGGGAGCCATCATTTCGCGAAAGGAGGACCAGCATGGTGTGGACACAGGGAAAATTGTATAAAAATACAAAATAGGGCAACAAATCTTGCCTGCTTTTGCGGATATTTCCCTAACTACAGCAAATATGGATATGAAACTTACATTAATGGACAGAGCAACATGTGCCTTTTCGGGTGCCACCACGATTGAAAGATTTGGAGAATGGTCAGACTTTCTATGTACGAATTTTGTGAGCCATCTTCGCACGGGAAGAGGTCCTGTAAAAGATGAACAAAACAATGCCATAAAAGTACGATGCGATAGGGCAACATCGCCTTCGGCAACCACATTACATGTGGCTATTAAACTTACATGAATGGATAAAAGAGCATGTTGCCTTTCAGGGGCCATTACGATTGCCTGATTTTGTTCAGACTTTTCATGCTCGAATATAGGGAGCCATCTTTGCGCCGGAAGAGACCTTGGAATAGAATACCAGAATTCAACAAAATAAAGAAACAAACTGGATTACAACTCTTGCATTTTTTTCACGGCTATTTCCTTAAAATTCCTTCAGTGTCATTTTTGTACAAATTAAACAATTTCTAGAGCATACAGTCGCTAGGTCGCTGAAATCGTTAAATGTTTTATAAACCTATGGTTTTATTCTTCCCCTTTTTCCTCAAACTGTGTAAGAAGCACCTCGATTTTCCTCCAGAAAAAAGCTGGCCTCCCAAAAATTCGGTTCTCTCTCTGCTTTTGAATGAAACCGCTTGGGCGTTAGAGACACAAGAACATGTAAGAGATTTCCAGACAATTATGTAATCAACTACACACAATTTGGTTTCTCGGATCAATACTTACTTCATACTTCTGACTAAAGCTGGATTTAACGTTTTTAGAGCTCACTATTTCGCGCTCGAAATCCGAATTTTGGAGACATCGATGACAGCTTGCATCCTGAGGTGACCCACCCTTGTAAGGAATTTCAGTCCGGGCCTTCCTTCAGACGGTAGGTTTACGCTTATTGTTTGCCAGTAGACGTGCACGAGCTTGCGTAATCGTACTCTGAATCATTCTGTATTCGAAACATTCAAAAAATCTTGATCCCACAAACGTCACTAAAAGGTCACGGTACAGAACAGCATAACAATAAAGCCAAAGGAAACCACTCTTTTCAGCGAGAATCTACACCAAAGGGATTCGTATGCCTTTGATACCAGTCTTATAAATGCAGTTCACAGAACTAAATGAATTCTCCATTGACATTTAGTTTAAAACTGACGTTAAGTTAAACACTGGAAAAAATAAAAAGAACACAGTTTTATGTACATGCAGTAGCAAAATGTTAACATTGACAAAAAAAATTACAGTTTTACTGTACATGTACGCATGTACAATTATGAACACAAAACAATGCGAGATCCTGTAAACGAGCGCAAGCCTTCCTGACAATAAAGTTTCAAATTTACGAATTGATTTGTTGATTTACCTATTTTGTCGTGCTATGTCAATAGTTTTTCTGAAATTGGTGTAATGACTTCAACAAATGAAAACGACACCCAATGACTTAATTAAATGACCATCTCTGGCACACCGTCACCCGTTCAATGCAATTCTGTCCCTGTAAAGGAATCGGAAATATTTGTGGGGGCTGTAAAGAACAAAAGGGACAGTATGGGCTCAGTTGGGTTGTGTAGGAAAACGCACCCTAACACTTAAAGTTCCCTTTGGTGCATACAAGCGCTCGATTGGCATTGCAAAAGTAATCTACTTTGGGAAAACGATTATATCTATTTCAAGAAAATGTTAAAGACTTGAAAAATGTTATCAGCCCGTGTAGCCTACGCCAACATTTGAAGTGAGATATGGGACGGATAACAATACTCAGGAATTCTTTCCAGAACCGGAAATGACTGCCAGTACATTTTTTTAAGAACGGGGGGGGTGTGTTTCACTGTTTGGCCTTGTTTAACACAGAAGGAAGAAAGGAAGCCTTCCTATGGCATTAGCCGAAGCTAATAGAGCCTGGAAATAAAAGGTCACGCAGCGAGCTCCCGGAACCTTCGCGCGTTCCGCCTATGGGGATTTTACATTGGGCCGATAAATTTTGGAAGAATAATTCCTAACTGAAACCACCCCATGAAACACTCATGTTGGAATTTTATCGTTGCCTTCCTCAAGTAATATTTAGGAAAAGTCATATGGAGATGGGTAAGAAACGAATTTTCTTAACAACCCATCGCATCGTATCGATATCGTACCTAGGTCTCTACGTTCACGTAGGCCTACGTTTGTTTTTACTGCCCGTGCTTACGTGAAAACGATATTGTACAACGTTGCAAAGATTTACCTACCTGCAGTCGATGGGTTCCAGATTACGCCATTTTCCGTGGGTGTGGCTGGCCTTGATTTATTAACCGATTTAGCTTTATCCACAGTTAAGTGTTCCTAGTAGATTGTTCTTTCAGATCAAGCAATAAAGGCGCACAATTTGTCATAACTGCAGGGTACACGTCGTCTTAAAGATGACATAAAGACCATTGCAGACAGGACGTAGTAGCCAAAATACGACATTTGCTATGGGTGTGGCTGGCCTTAGTTTTGAAATCGATTTAGCTTCATTCAAATTTGAGTATGCCCACAGACATCGTCTTCCTCCTTTTGAAATAAAAGCATCAGATTAAAGTATGTGCCGTTTACTTTTGTAGAAATGCATAGGTTAACTGTAGCAGCGCCAAATCCAACTCATCATGTTCTAGAAAAAGAATTTAAGTAGTATAACCAGTACTTGAAAGAAAACGAAAAAAATTTACATTCGAAATTTCGTTGTTCATAAAAAAAATAGTTTACGCAGAAGTTTATCACGTAAAATTACATCATGTGTTCCTATGTGACGAGGATTCGTATTTATAAACCACATACTGGTCGGTATATTTTGAAGAAATGTGGACCTCCACGCACTTATTCTAGCGTCTGAGACTCTAACCAAAATCGCGGCTGGGTTGAGGCTGGAAAATCGGGTCCAGATCGCGGCTAACTTCAGCCGGGTAAAGATTCCCTGACGACATAATGTCATCATCGGGTCTGGTATCCAGCTTCATCATAATTACGTGCGCTCTCGATCGAAAACATGTACATTCGCAGCGCTAGCGCGGCATGGCATGTTCGAAAGCGTCGCTCGTGAGGTAAGCTTGTGACACGTCTGATGCTTAGAACTAAGTGAAAATTTCTTAATTTAATAAACAAATGCAAATATAGGCCTATGATGTCACTTGGGGGATTATAGGCTTAACCCCCTTTTTTTGTCATTTTACGGGTCCATGTCATGAACGTTGACCTTGTAAAACTGGTCATTCCTCTCCCTACCCTAGCATTGCCTTGGCTAGGCTAGTAATGTTGATGGCCCATGATGGCAATGCAGTCTTTATAGCGCTGACCGTATGTTTGGATAATTCGAATTGTAAATTGAGAGAAAATGTGACTAAATTTCTTACTGATATTAACCAGCCATCATCAGGGCCATGCAAATTTGTCTCCACCACGTGTCGTGTGTTAAAACATTCACAGTTTCCCCCATAATTTTCCTCGAAACTCTACCCTCTTTGAACAAAACCAACTTGGGTAAGTGGGGGTATACCCGATCGAGGGGAAAACCCGATCAGCCGTGATTTTTTTCATGTAGTAGGGCCTACACTGTTCATTTGATTCACGTCACAGTCTGTAGGGCCTACAGACTGTGACTTGAATCAAATGACGAGAGCATAGGCTATGGAGCAGTAAAAATCCAGATTTTACCGGAGTAAAATCCAAATTTCTGCTTGCAAAAAATTGGGTTTTTGGAAAAAGAATGGTGCAACTTCAAAAAATCCGAAAATTTACAAGCAGAAAATGGGAAAATGGGGTTGTCCACTTTTGGAGCATGACAGTAATTTTTCCAGTTGGAATTTGAAGTTTTTAGTTGTCCACTTTTGACGCGCCACAAGAGTTGTTAAAGTAAAATCCAAATATTTGCTAGCGAAAAATTGCATTTTTTGAAAATGCTATACGCTAAGTCCAAAATCCCGAAAATCTACTAGCAGAAAATGAGAAAATGGGATTGTCCACTTTTGACGCGAGTAGTAGGCCCTACTATATGAAAAAAAATCACGGCTGATTCGGTTCTCCCCCCCTCCCCGATCGGGTATACCCATACTTACCCCTTTGTATTTATTAATAAATGAGCATGAAGTCATAGCCATCCACCAAGGTGAATCTGGATGTTGAAAAGTAGGTCACAATCCCTTTATATTAAATGGGGTCCCAAAGTTTAAGCCCCTCAAGCTCCACTTGACCAGTTGACACCCTGTGTACAAACCCTAGTGAGTAGTGGCGCTGGTCTTTTTTGTCTTTTCCTTTTTTAACAAATGTCGAAGTGATTACCTGACCTCATATGTTCACTGCTAAATTTGACTTTTTGGTACATTCCACTTCTTTCAGTTCAGATAGCTTAGGTCACTGCAGTGAAAAGTCAGTGGCATCTGTATCTGGAACAAGCACTTTCATTATACATGTAATATGTGCCATTTTGTTCAAGCTCCCAGGGTAAAGGAACATGCGTTGCCGTGCTGAGGTGCATGTTTATTGAAAACTTTTGTGCGTCCAAGTCATCATGCTGGCCATTCATATCATGTCACAGTTTATTCAGTTACTGGGACACTGCTTAGGTGATATTTTATTTGTTGTCAAAGGCCTGCCAGCCCGCAGGGTGAGAATTAATTTTGACACAATTAATATAGGTTAGTTGTGCATCATGGAAGTAGGAAAACCATGGAAACATATGCATCCATAATGAGCGACATACATGTATGAGAGGGATGAGTCATACATTCCCGAGCCCTCTCGATTCCAAGTACATGTATGCTCAGGAATGTACATGTATGAATTCCTGTGAATTTAGGCAGAGAATAACTGGGGACTGATAGCCTGGATGAGTCTGGGATCTCTAACAAGCTGTTTGATGAGCTGACACCTCAATGATCTTCCGTTTCAAGTTCATCGAGGACTTCCACCTCCTGGACAGCCTCAATGTACAAGGACATTTAGAAAGTCAGTGCACCCAAATACTACTCCAAAGATTTTGCTAGTGGGTATATTTGGGCATGTCTGTGGGGCCCGGGCTTTTGTGGGATCAAGATACCGGTAGGCCTACTAGTACTAAGCCTTGGAACCTTTAGCTTGGGCCACTTGCACTTCAACTATGTTCACACAAACGGCCAGTGCACTGTCCTGTCCATGAACAATCAGACATGGACCTCGAGCTGAGACTCGGCAAAACTGCTCAGCCGTTCATCGGAACCAGCATAGCCATTCTTTTTTTCAAAGCCCTTGCCTCTTTTCCAGTTTGTTTAGGAGATGGTGTGTAGTTTGCTTCAGGAAAGATCAAATATTCCGAGTAATCTATGGACCATGTTAGTGCCACAGCTTTCAAAAACATAATATCAGTGATAGATCCAGCATCTATGAAAACGGGGAAGGAGATGTGCCCACAGCAGAAACAAAATCCAAGCATACAGTGAGGTAATATTATCTCATATAGCCAAAGTTACCCGTCTTTGCGTGGTGTAACCAGTTACCACCAGAAAAGAAAGAGAAAAAGACAAAAACAATTAAGAACAAGTGATAGAGGTGGGACATTGTTCTGTTTGTGCCCTCCCCCATGGCAGATCCAGGGGGGCCAATGGGCACCTTGCCCCCCCTCCAGTAGCGAATGAATTTGTTTTTTAAGAGAGTAAGGTATTTTTCATTCCATATCATTTCAAAAAGCCTGGAACTTGAAAAGCTCTAAACTGTACCCTTGACCCCTCAGAAGGGCCATAGAAGGTACTTAACAACTATCTGAATTCTTCCCCCCCCCCCCGAACTTTGGCTCTTGATCCCACCCTCAGTGTATCATTTGTTATCGTGATCAAATTTCTTCGGAAAGAATGTCTTGATTTGTTGACAGTTTTTGATAATGTATAGCTGTTTTTATTTCTGCTGGTCAGATACATGTACATTGCATCCGCAGAAGGTGATGCCGAACAACCCAGCTGGACTAGTCAACTTTCAGGTCTACTCCAGGAAGGCTGAGGTCAGTAAGGTCAGCAAGGCTGATCGGCACAAGAACTGGGTCCACAACAAGAACTCCAAGAACCTGCCGCTCAACATGTGGGTACGATTTGTTCTGGAGAGTATCTTTTTTGTGACAATTGTCCATCTGTTTTAACGGACACATTTATTTGCCTAATGGGTGTGGTGGCCCAGTTTGATTTCCACATCAAAGATTTCCCACTGCTTTACATTTGAGGCCTGCGAGGAGCCCCAACTCAAGGTGAATCTCATCAGGGTTTATTGTGAAATTATGCTACATTATAGTGCAAAAGACAGAAAGTTGTGACTTGAACCACGTAAACAGATGAAAATCTGTCAAGAAATAAGCGTATTCAAGTTCTGCCTGCGTGTTTAGTGATTTTTGATTCACTTGTTTAGTTCTCTGCTATGATGTAGAGAAAGGCAGTTAGCAGGGGGTTTGGGTGAAAATGATTTACTTTCAGTTTTAAATTGATACAAGAAATCCTTGTTCTAGCTGGAGTTACAAAGTTGTATGGAGGTTTCTCATGCCAGTTTGTGTTAATCTTCTATTCTGTTTATTTTAATATCAATTATATCCTTAATTTTGTCAACATTATCGAAGTTCCCTCTTGCAGAACTTAATGCTTATCCTGATTCTTGCAATTCCCATTGCCCTGGGAATGCAATCAGGTATTAAGTCAAGCACTTAAGGAAGGAATCACTCTTGAATATGGTGTTTGAGGTGATCAATATTAATAAAGCCTCTCGATCTTCGCCCTACCTGTATATGCCATCATAAAAACATTGTGAAATAATGTACAGAATATCAAGGTTTTGGGGGGTGAGGGTTGCAGGGAAAAAAATTCTGGGGGGGAGCACTCATCATTGATCAGCAACAGTCTGATGCAATCTGACGAAACCCTTTCTCTGAGGTATCAGGAAACAGCAGCTCAAGTCTGGTAGGCCTGAAGCATGCTCTGGAAATCTTCAACTACTGTTCCCTGTTTCTCTTCATGGTGGAGATCATCTTAAAGTGGATGGATGACTTCATCTCCTTCTGGAAGAATGGCTAGAATATCTTTAATTTTTTGGTGACAGCTGGGGTGAGAAGCTTCATAAAAATTATAGATGTGACAATCCATGAGTTTAAGAAAAAAGTGACAAAAGTTTGGGTAAGAAGTGGCAAAGAGCATTCTGCTTACATGAGAATAAAAGCTTCCATCATCTTTTTGATTAGAAGAAAAAAATGCAAAATGGCTGATTCAGTTATCACATCTTCATAGACTCGTGCATTTATTTGCCGCATTTATCCTGAGGTAAAAATTTGTCACATCCTGTTTGTGTGCATAGTCGAAAATGCTAGATTGGTGTTATGATTCAGTGATTCTGTACAGGTCTGTAAAGTTTCACCCTACTTTGATGCAGTTAAAAAGTATAGTTTTTAATTCAGGGCTGCTTTTTTTCTCAAATTCAGAATAATGTAGGTTCCAGTACCTCAAAGCCATTCAAAATCTAAAAAGAAATTTTGTGAATTTTAGTACATGTAAATTGCACATCAGAGACTTGTTCATATTTGGAAAGCTTCAAATTCAGGTTTTGTTTTGTATTAGTAATAAATTATGAAAATTTTTAACAAGTGACTTTTTGTCTACAGTCATTTGTCCCCGAGATTATCGTGCTCACTGTGGGCGACGTGAAGGAGCTTCGAGTCATTGTGAGGAATCTCTGAGTCTTCTGCATCCTGCGTTCACTCAAGATGGTGTCTTGCTTCCAGCAATCTGGCTTTAAAAAATTGAGCAAGCTAATGAGCATCAGGATGGCCTTTAGTTCAGCGCTGCCTTCACCTTCTTGGTGTTTTAATTCTTGGGAAACCTTCAGATGTAAGAATATCATGTTTTTTTTCTCAGGAACGTAGAAAATCAACGAATTTCACTGCTCCAAAAAGCCAATGCTGTATAAAATGACTGAATAACCAAAGAATTACATGTACATCAGACATCTCGTTTCCATCATAAAATTGTGCTGGTGTCCAGTGTTGGGCCCTTAACAATAATAAGCAAAACCAAGTGGAGAAAGTGAACATACCTGATAGACTATGGGGGTGGGTTAGGTCACTTTCATGTGCAGACTAACTTAATGCGATGATAAGCAAGCAGAATAAAGCATATTTAATTGACCAATCATGGTAGAATCGCATCAAATTGTCCAATGTCCCATAGAAAATGGATTTGGGACACAAAGTCTCAGAAAAACAAAACTCAGTACCAGTGTTAATTGTATTCAAGTCCAACACAAGTCATTCAGTCTTTATAAGCCAATTCACAAGCTATTCAAATGAGCTGTAACAAGCATTCTTAAAATTATTATTTTTCACCCTGTTACTTATGACTGGCCTTGTGAAGAACTTGTAAAAGGACTGTGATGGACTCAATTACAACATTGCTCAATACTCCACCAGGATATCCAAGGGGCACATGATTGGTCAGTTTGGTTGGATGTGTGGCAAGATTTCCACATATGCCCTGTTTGAAATCTTCAGCCAGTGCATCACAATTTTTCACACAAAATAAATTTTTGTACACATCATTTTGCTAGGCATGAGCATCTGGAAATATCAAACCTGATAAATGTTATACAGTGGATTATAAATTACATATTTAAACTTCCCGGGATGTGATCAACCTGCGGCTGTTTGAAAATAATGTGGAGGCCTGAAGGTGTGAATACATGTAAAATATTTATTCCCATACAAAAATTCCGGAAGATTCTGGTTACATCTATTTTTGTAGTTTATTTTTGTGTACATTAAATATATTCATGGTTACATATACATCCCCATGTGCATGATTGACCCGGCTGTTGGTCAAGTCAAAAGTTCTGCCCATTGACTCAGTGGCTCAGGCCTGACCTAGGGTTTGCTAACTGAACCGTCACTATAAGGATGAAGTGATGAATCAGCACATACACGTGGCCAATGAATCTCGATAGTGATTTGCACTTTGATGAAATTTGTACTTTTAAATTAATTAGTGACCTTCCATTTCTCTCCCTGCCTCCGCCACTAGGTGATTATCATACTACTGCTTCTCTTATTCGCTTACAGCTTCAGGTAATGAGGATCACTAAGTACAATATACGGCTCTAAAGTACTAGTTTATATACTCCAGGGCGGTCAAAACATGTTCAATTTTTAGAATTTATAATGCAGATATCTCGTTTAATCACTTCATACCAGATGATGTCGCAACGCACTCCGGGAAATCTGTATATGGTGCTGCTTGATATCTATTCTTGTCCACAGGCTTGACTGATTGCCATTGAATTCATGCCGGTGCACACAGGCTCAAAATAGTTTGTGGACGTTAAATGCGTGTGCTGCCCTCAAGCAGTCTTGGGCCAAGGCCAGTCCCGGTGGTAAATATCACTCTGCGACATAGTCACAGAGTTTTGAAAAAGCAACACTGTAAGAATATCAAACAAATCTTGAACAAATGACCACCATGGGTAAGCATTTTAATTAGCCCAACTTTGTAAAGAATTGTGTAGTAGTGTGTGTAGTTATAGTATTTTGTCATAGTACAAAATTAGTTTTTTTCAGTCGGAAATGATACTGTGTTTAAGACAAGTGCGATTCGGAAAAATACTCTCAGCAGGTGGATAAGAAATCAACCATTGGCCGTGCAGTTCAGTTTTATTCTCTGATTTTACTTTCTTGCCCATTTTGATCATCCCGTGGCTGGTACCCTACAGCACTTTTACCCATGCACTGATCACCCTGTTCTAGCTCCTTACTTTGGACCAGTGGTACATGTACATGTACAAGATCCTGATGGGCATGGGGAAGGTTGCCAATTGCTTCTTCACCACCTTTTACCTCATGTTTTGGATCTGCATCGGTTCTTTAATCTTCCGCAACAAATTTGTTGCGATCATGGGTGAAGGATCAGTCTTCCGATTTGACGTTACACAGTCTATAGAGAGTTATGTAGGGTTATTTGTGTGGTATATAACGCAAATTGTGTGCCAGCCAGGGCTGTCACACACAGTGCAATGGGCCTCAAGCTGAACAGAGAGAGAGGGTGTTGTTTTCAATAGGCTCCTCTTGTCAGAATTGAACTTCGCTGGTTCACAAATGACTAGGAAATACATTATTTTTGATTGCATCACTGCCTACAAAATGAACACTACCATGGACAACATGGTTCAGATCTTTTCAACCGATGAGGTACTGCTTAAGTGACCAGAGGTTGCCAAAAATAGATTCTGCATCAATGTATGCACTGCAAGGGAGGCACAGCCTTAGAAATCTACGTGTATGTGTAGTCCTATGACTCAGAGATGTTGAGAGTGCTGAACATGCACTGTTACCACTGCACATCATACCCACAAAGCTAAGCTTCCTTTGTGATAGGGACATAATATTTAAGCAGTTGATACATACTTTTAGCGTCCTGTTCATAACTATTGTAGCTGCTTCCATATTTTACGACAATGTTGGACGAATTCCGATGTTTGAGAGGGTGGCCTAATATAACTTTCTCCAGCCAACTTTCACAGCATACAAGAAAAACGGTAAACCTCAGTGGTTTTATCCTCAATGTGTTTTTCTGGGTACATAATCAGTGAGCCAGTTCGGTATTTCAGAAGGGAAGGTGCGAGCGTGAGTCGGCTTTTGGCTGAGCTGATAGGGCAAGCAAGCGCGCTCTTGCGCTCCGCTATTCCCAAATGACCTCGGAAGCAACTTCGTTCCCATGGGTACGATCTTGCAGCTTCATGTTGGTTCCCACCATGCCTTGCGCGATCAAGTGAAGGAACGCGCACGGAGCCCATGGAGTCTAGGTTGCCTCGGGAGCGCTTCAGTTTGGGCAAGCGCTGTCGGAATTTCGAATTGACTCGAAACTTATTTCTCTTTCTTATTCATCAGCTGTAAACGGTCTGTGCAATGCGATGTTGAAAATTAAATCCTAGAAAATGCACCTTTATTTACCCTTACCTGTACTTAAACTTGTACTATTTGTAAACTAGATCCAAGCAGTCTCCTGACGATGGACAGAGCATACTGTCCCAAACGTTAAGTATACCAACGGTTCTTTTCAAAACCCCACATACTCACAAATACGGAGCCCCTAAGGGGACAGGCACAATGAGAATTTTTTTTAAAATTGTTCCTTCGAATGATATTTCGTTTTCTCGAAATATCATTTCATTTGCTCGAAATATTGATTTAATGACGTCGAAATATTTTTGTGTAATTTTAATTTTCATGTAAAAAAGTGTGGTTTCATCCCATACCAAGTAAGACATCTTAATTTTGTACTTGCACCGCTAACATTGGTCAGATCTTTATAATATTTTGCAGCCTTTAATTGTATTTTCTTTGATTATTGGTAGTTCTAATTCACGAAAGTAGGACCGTATACAAAAGCCTTCTCAAAAATCGTTTTCACTAAGCTAATGCTTGGTTACATATAAAATGTTAGCAGAAAACGCCTCATGTTAATTGAACGAATAGTTTTCACCTGGGGCAACATAACAATGATAGCCGTATCGTTATTCATTTCTCAGGAAAATCATGGAAGCGACACATTTGTTTTCAATACTGTTTTGAAAACAAAAGATGCAAAATAGGTTTCACACATTTTAGAGGAGTAAATGGCTGCATAAAATCTACATCTAAGAAAAACCACCACGTGAACCCGAAGATCCTAAAGTACAAGAGAAATAACTACTGCCAGATTTCAACGTTATATCAGCCTTTTATCAACGTAAGTAGTGAATTACAAGACACGGTTTCTGAGGATTTTATTCATAGTTGCCACCTTTTCCAAAGGGCCTCCGATAGTGCTCTTAGATCCACGTAACCCGGGAAAGCATCCCGATGGGGGATCGAACCAGTAGGCAGGGTCCTCGATACCGTTTTGGTAGTCGCTGTACTGGTAGGCGGAACTTAGCTTCCGGTAGGGGCCCGCGGTTGGGCTCGCGTACCACGGGAACATCGGGTGGCTTGGTGGGACTGGATCCATTACTGGGGGGTACGACAAAAGGGGACAGGGAAAGCCTCAAATTGTAGCATGCATGCATAAGAACAGAGCCCCTGAGGGGACATACAGATACAACATCCGTATCCTGAATAAGTTCCATTCCCACACTTTTTTGTTACCTCGCAATTTTTGCGCTCTGAAATACACTCATTGTTTCGTTGTTCTTCCAGACTGGTTTACCAACACACCCACCTGGTAGCCCTCTGCTACTTCCCCTGGTGGTCTTTTGGACGGCAAATATCCCGAGTTGGTACGGTATGCACCCCTCGGCACCTACCGAGTACCGCACCAGCAGGTTGAAGCTCGGGGAGGAGCTGGGGATAAGGAAGTGGAAGGAGCTCACTGGGAAAGCATCGCCGAGGCCGATGGGCACTGTCTCATCAAATGTCGCAATGGCTGTCGTTTCCGAGAGAACGGAAAACGGGCGAAATGATAATCAAAACAATCACAGATGCACCAAAAGGCAAGTCACAAAAACAACAAATGATTACGAAAGAGAATGCAATCAGTGACCGAGGGCAGATCAAAAACCCATGGGAGGGAGTCAGAGCTGTTTTATTTTCTAATTTTATTATTCAGGGATTTAGACATTTATGATAAAATCGTTTATGGTCTTTCTGAGGGTGAGTAAAAAGCATGTTTTTTAAAGCAATTATGGAAGGAAGAGAGAAGTGAAATAGAACCCCCAAATCGCCTGTTGCTGTTATTCCTGAAGAACTAAAAAGTTTGCCTCATCGCACACCAAGTCAGTAACTCGAAAAATGAGCTATGAATAACATGATACACTTTAACCTGATTCCGGGGTGGATGGGTGGGTGGGTGGTTGGTTGGGTGGGTGGGTCTGTGTGTGTGGGTGTGTGTGTGTGCGTTAGTTTGTTTCTGCATGCAATTGGGGACCCTGAACAATAGAGGACAATAAGGGTCCCCTATTGACAACTGTGTACAAAACATATGGGTGGTCTTCTAAAAAAGTTAAAGTACGAACAATAGGGGGTACCCAGCTGTGTGTGTGTGCGAATCGGAGCCCTGTTAGGATTAAAGGCATGGACTTCACCACAAACACTACAAATGAATAGGCCTAAGCACAGCGTCTGAAGAAAGGCATTTGGGGGAAATGTCATTTCACTTGTCTGATTAGGAATCCTCCGATAGTGTCTTATCGGGTAGTCTGAATAAAGGTATGGTCACATTTGAATATCCCAATGAAAACTGGAGAGTTCACGGTGATTTTTCTGGCATTTTACTATCGCTAACTTGGAAATTTCAAAGCCATTGAATTAGCACGTGACGGAATTAGCGGAGTCAAATTTATCGGCCCATGGAAAGTCCATAGCTGAATGCAAAAAGTCCAGGGATATCCATACAGAAATGAACATAGCCAATTCAACGAGGTTTTCTGTTCCGCTTTTTTGAGTAAATGTCTCATTCTCGTTAGACGTAGAAGCCGAGACTTTTTATCGTGAGTCTGTTTTCAAATGAAGGACGGAAAGGTATCCTTTATAATCTTCACTTACGTGGAATACACTGAGGCAAGAAAGAATAAGACAGATGCTTGGTCGTGCAATGTCCACCTTCGATGATGTACTTCTTGCCCTGAAATTGCAGTAAACAACACAATACACGTAGTGGCTTGGGTATTGATAGGTCTTTGTTGTAGAGGCAATGAGGCTGTTGTAAATGGGAATATTTACCCAGCATGATTGTGGTAATGAACGAGACAAGCACACAGTTGAAGCTAAAAATTCTTTTGTGAAATAGATGGACACTGGTATCCAAAATATGATATGGTTAGAGGTTGGATAGTCGATATTAGCTCCCCGCGGTATTGGAAGTTGAGGAGTTATAGTTCCCGAGGCGAATTAAACCGAGGGAACTTGTCTGTCATTTTCCATTATTGAGGGGAGCTAATGGCAACTATTCAACCGAGAAAACTCATGTTATATTTGTTTGATACCTCATTATACCTCATATATAATACCTCTATGAAATACGACGCATTTCTTTGTGGTAGCCCACATGTGTTGCCATCTTTCTTTGCTCGTCGCCCAGCTCCCGCACAGGGCGCTGGGAAGGGCTGATGGCCTTGCACAGATCTCAGTGAAGGAAATACGTCACACGGGGTCGCAGCTAACGACGCGCAGAGCATTGTGGGTAAATTTCTGCCAGGTGAGCTAGCTCAATGTGGTGGTTGCCAATTCGATCGATTTTCTTTTTCTTCCTCATTGCAGAATGTATTCTCACTGCACTTTATTAGTTCATCCAAAATTGATCAAGATAACCAGTGATTTGAAATATATCACCAAAAGACACATGATCAGTAATACTTAGTGAAAAGAGAAATTACTGTGATTATTTCAAGGCCATGTTTTCATCATATAAGCCGACACTTTGACCGTGCCGAAATCCATTGCGTTTGGCCAAAAAGAAAAAAAAAGAAAGAAAAGGAAAGAAAAAAAAAACGTCAAATAACGCTCAGCTAACAGGAAGTGATAAGGTGGCGGTCGGAAGCCATGCACAAAGTAGCCAATCACAGTGCAAAGCCATCAGCCCTTCCCAGTGCCCTGTTCAGGCAGGGTGACGAGCGAACAATCTTTCGTGTGCATATAATTTATGTGTAACACCATGAACAGCTACAACAATGCGCGTGAGTGCCACACCCATAGCTCGACTATCTTTCTTCGAACTCACGTTTGTCGGCGATGGTTGGACCAGTCTAGTCAACTTTTCGCGACCGGTCTACCAAGGTTGGTCGCGTATCGCGTCGTTGGTTGTCATAAACCGTTTGTAATAGCACATTGCAGATAGGACCAGTTATAAGAAATGTCGGAAAAAACAGTGTTGCTAGTAAACGACCATTTTCACTTTTAATTTTGCTCTTCCTGCTGTGACCTTTTCTCCCTTTCGGCCTAATAATGACCCGACAACGGATGACTAGGGTCATTTCCACTTCAACCCAACGTCACGAACCAACCGTTAGTTAACTAGTGGGCCTTCATCGAACTTGCCTACAGGTACCCGTGTGATAGTTCATCTGGGCATGCTCATTTACTTTTTTCGTGGAAGTGAATGGCCCAATGAGATTCGGCTCTCGATCTTAAATATGTATGATGTATAGAGACATATAGCAACATCATATTAATGCTTGTACATGTAGTTATGCATGCGTACAGTGACATGCCATCTTACCTTTTTGTAGTCGTATATCAGCTTCGTTTTTTCAACAACCCCTGTGACGTCATTATAAACCTCAGTAATCTCAGCTGTTTTCTCGTTGATTTCGTCATAGGCCATCTCGGTTTTTTTCTCAAAGACGACAACAGTTCCATTACCCAAGACCGTATCAATAATTTCTACATGTAAAAAAAAATTCCACGGCTGAATACACCATTTACAAATACCAAAGACAGTTTAGCCATTCCTGCATGAAAGTCTAGCTCCCATCACGTGACCGGTCTTAATGAACGGTTGAAAGAGACGTATAAAAATGGATCTATCCCGGAAAGTGACGTCAAGTAGAACCAGTAAATGCCGTACGAAAGAATGGAGTATGCGGGCGCATGGTTCATGTGCTGGTTCTCGCGTTAATGCTTTTTACACACATAACTGTAATGTACTCTCACAAAGCACAAGCTGGCTATGCACCGCCTGTGGTACACGCCACGGGCGCACCAATCTCCATATAAGGAGATTGTTTTAGACTATTAGTGAGAGGAATATACCATAACATGGCTAGAGGGGTGTTTGCATAAAGAGGAAGAACTGTTGAACAAACCGTTGAAAGTTTATGACTTTTTAAACCTGTTACTCAAAGGTCTTTAAATGGGAATAAAATACTTACTTGGCTGGTCTTAATCATCGATTAGGACCTGCCAAGCAGATACAGGAGTTATCAATGGAACATGGTAACGTTCCGGGGATCAGTGTGTGAAAGAAATTACCGTAATTATTTCCCAATGTTATGATTTTAAGGAAAGACTATAATCATGTGTCGGCCATCTTGAGTTGAAAGCGGGATAACACTTTACATTTGGGGAACCTGACAGTAAGAATAACAATAAAAAATTTTAGACAAAATTTGTGCCAGATTTTGTTGGAAATATTATTGAAAATAAAATTTCCAACAAAGTGTTATAATATGTGATATAGAGCCACATTTAAGAATATGGAAGTGAACTTTGGAACCCCAAATAGTCTGGCCCACCGTCCCATTGATGTGATAGATCCAGGCAACAAGATAAAATATGACATCACCAAAAAGTCTACTGATGAGTTTTGCGTTGAAAGATATTTTGTGGGTGGGAAGACTAGTTTCAATGCGTTGTTTCTGGACTGGCAGAAGTTGCAGCCATTGCGGACCTGGCTATCATTTGGATTTTTGCGATTATGAATACCGTATTGCCGAGAGCTCCTTAATTAAAATCGAGGTACAAGGCATTAAAATACACTGGCGCACTAAGCAACTATCACTCTACTACTTTACTAGTACTCAACAAGTCACGCGTGTCAGGCCATTTGATTTATATAAATCAATATCAGTGTGATTAGCAAAAAGCTCGTCTACAAAAAGTTTCCCAAAAAAATGAGCAAATACCTAGTCGGGCAACGAACTGCTTGGGATAGCAGCATGGTGTTTGGCTGACTGCCGAGACGGTGCCGACCAGTACCAATGCCAGAACCAATGTAGACACACGGGCCAAGGACATTTTGTCCCCCACTTGCTAGTCCCACACCTTACGCCGTTAAATCCTCAGGACGGTGAGTAGCCCCTAAGCCAACTCCGCTGTATTATATGTAGTTAGTGGTGACAGAACTGCATGCGACACAACAGGCAGCAGAGAGCTAGACAACCTTGAACGGCGAATTGTGCACTAGATTTGCTCACAAGCACTAAAAGTTGTTCCAGTCTTGCAAGCCCATAGTGCATGTAGGCCTGGACCTACTGAGATTTTTTTTTTCGTTTTCTGTAGCCCATTGTGCACAAACCACCTCCATATCAAGAGAAATGGCTGATGCAGCAAAGTCCCTGATATTTGCTTGTTACGAGTGGCTGGCTCTTTTGAAATACCAAATAATGAACTGAGGACGTTGATTCGAGGTTATTCGCCACCACAAGGTGGTGTGATTAAAAGGAACAAGCTGACACAAAGACCTGTCTATGATGTTCCATATATGCCGTCTGTTCTGATTTTTCAGCCGGCGTCGCGTTTTTTAATAGGCATCGCGTTTTTGGTTGGGCGTCGCATTTTCAACCTGCGTCGCATTTCAACCAAAGTAGAGACACTACTGCGAAAAACACTCCCTCAGGCAGCAACTCTGCAGGTTAGCGAATACCAACCAGGGTGAACAAAAGGCCTACTGGGTTTGGTTTTGACGTATCTTTACGTAATGACAGCAGTTAGCAATTGTAGGAACTTGACCGAGGTCATTAAAGGGCTGTTAATTTATTTACCTGCAGCTATACTAATCGACAAATACATGCTAATACAGCCGTTTCCATAATCATTAAACATATGTAAGCATATCTTTAGTAATCCAGCCCAGTCAACAATGTCAGGTCAGGTTCATATGGAACACCGTAACATAGGCTTGTCGCGTATTACCCGATCGGATTGTAGCACGCAAAGGCACCTATTTACACATATGTGCCTCGTATTTCGTGCATGTACGTATAAATGGCCACTCCGCGCCTTCTGCATACACGGATTTACAACGCGCACTGAAAATGAGTTTATGGAAAGACCCAACTGAGTGTGGAAATATTCTATACCAGTTAACAAATGAGCAAGGGCTAGAGCAGACAAAATTTATTTTCAAACGTTTATGAACAAGATAATCCATTTCCGAATGGCAACACTTTACAGAACAACACTCTAATGCCATGACCAGACTGGGAGCAGCGGCCATAGCTGGTCCAGAGCTGTTTATTTAGAGTCTCCTTTGTTGGAACCAGAATGGTAGATTATGGGTTGGTGCACATGAACAGTTAGCAAGCAATAATTACATGCTCTAGTGCACACATAATGAGCAACCATTTGGTTTCAAAGTTGGAAGTTGGCGCTACTCAAAAGTACTCTCTCTTTATACATAGCTGCGAGCCGGCCTCCAGTGGCTCTTCAACGACGTAGTTCTCCAGACTCTTTTCCTATTTATTGGTGTTCTGTATCAGCGAGTCTCACATCTCAAATCTTTATGTGCTTGTGACGCGTATAAATGATAGTTAATCAAGTTCAAGGAATAGCTTTTTACTATCAATTTCGAAATAAATCTAAAATTTGAGATACGTGTACCTTGAAATGGATTAAGAGTTATCTTGAAATGGACTTTAGAGATACCTTGAATATGGTTTCAAGATATCTGCAAATGGATTTCATATTTCAATATCATTGCTCAAAGATTTTAAAATACCAAACTTTTTAAAAGATATCTCTCGAAATAATTTGCGATGTCTGGAAATTATCAAGAGCTACCACTTTAATACAAGTGAAGGTCACTTATGCGTACCATGCATGTTTGCTGCCTGCGTTAAAACAGGCCGAATTACAATAAGGCATGACCCAACCTATCAAAATAGATCAAAGATCTCCTTGCAAATTGAAAAAAGCTCCAACAGTGAAAAATCAATTGAAGAATTGAATCGTCAACCCCCCCAAAAAACCTCTTCGTCGGGATGCAAAAACTGTGTCATTTTTTGGAAACAAAGCGCTCCGTTTGCTCTCTCTCAATTTTATGCAAACTAGAACTGAAGAAAAATTGACATAAGGCTTCTTTCTCTTTCATAAAATCCTCGTAAGGGCTTACGGCTCCCGGGTACTCTTATATATACACATGTACTCGATTTGGTGCAAAGCAAGCCATGCAGGAACAAAGCTCGAACGATGGGAGCATTCAGAGAAAAGTAACAAAGTGCAAGGGGGAAAAAGAGAAAAGGCAGAGACAGCAGGCTCATTGAGCCCTAACCCAAACATTTCCCACTCAGGGAAGACACCCCAGCGCCCATTAAAAACACTGCTATCCTGATTCGTGCGCTGGTGAATGAACAAGCGGTAATTACGAAAGCGAACAAAACACACACTTTCTCAACATCCCAGTCTTTTACTATTTCTTATTTAATCATACCTTGGGTGAAATTAATGTTATTGCTTTGTTTTCATATCAGAAACATGACATATCCCTAAAGTGACTTCTTTTCACATCATGTAGGCCTACTCACATTTTGGAAACAGAAAGACAGTTCACAGAAGTAAACTAAACAATGTTTGTTACATAAAACTAAACTGGCCAAACTACAATTGCATCAATGTAACAACTTGCAATAAAAGTAATCAGATGTATCAGATCTTAAAAAGATTTCTACAATCAACTTCGTAGAACCAAACAAATTACATCAATTTCTTTCTGGAGTAACCTCAATGGCTGGTCTCTTGCTCAAAGTGTACATGTAAAGAACATACATGTAAAATGACTTTAAAGTCTCCTTTTTTAACGTGTATAAGGACACTGTTAAATAACGTCAAAGGATGACGTTAGATGCAGGAGGTATGCTTTTTCGGTTTTGCCTTTTATTTTTGAAAAATTGCTGTCAATTTCCCAGTCTTTGGATGCATTCTGTGCATACAATTTCAGCTACATTTCTTTGTCTAAATCCCCCATTTTATCTAATTATAGGTACATGTATATTGTAGTTATTGTAAGACTTCACTGTAAATACCGATTGAATGTTATGTGCAACATCTACCCTTGCCTGTACAGCAATGGATGTGTACCATGTACATCTGTATGGAGTGTACCGTGTAAACATGTTTATTATTTGAAAAATGTTAACTATGAAAGTAATATTAGCTTCATTGATAAGTAACCAATTTTGGGGGGACTGGGGTGAATTGGTTTTCAATTTGTTTTCCCGCATGCCTAGGAATGCAGGTTTTAAGAAGTTGCACATTTTGATATGAATAACACCCCCACTTCATCTATAATTAGTCTGATTTGAAAGCAAACCTCTCATATGAAAGTGCACTCTGCCGTGTATCTAATATGTCCCTTGACATTTCGTTTGGCATCATCATCAGGATCGATTTCATGTATCAAATAGAATGTACACCAAATCTGAGCTCACAGGTCACTGCATTTTTCTCGTTATTGCACTAATTCATGCAAGAGCTGTCATTCAAAAGTCTTTACACGTGACAAAACTGTAGTTGGTTTATGGAGTGTGTATACATGTCTGTGAACTTGAAGTAACTCGGTACTGTGTTGTTGAGAGATAACTTATAGACGATGATGAGTCTTCAGGAGATTAAAGAATTTCTTTTATATTCTTCTCCATTGGTGTCACACGGAGAGTATTTCCAGTTGCCAAGGCGTACTAAAAGCAAGGTCTAGCGCAAGACTTGTTTTTTTTTTCTGTCTGGTCTCAGTGTCCTTTCACCTCATTGAAAAGGTCATTCCAGATGGACTAAAAATTGTTGACTTATTGAAGGAGAAGAAAACAAACAATCAAAGAGTGAATCCAAATGCATACATGTGCAAAACATAAAACGAACAACGCCTTTCAGATTACTTTAAAGATTAAAAGAAAACCTCAGTGAAGCGTGACTGTGAATTTATTAGAAACCTAAGGGGAAAAAAGTCCGTTCTCACGGGAACAAAAATACCACCTATGATTTATACGGTTAGAAAAGAATGAAGGTGTCAAAAAGCAACAAGTAAAGAAAAAGAATACAATTATATGTCAGGAAAGCATTTACAAATGAATCTCAAATTTGTAATGATAATGCATTCCCATGAAGAAGAGAGAAGCGAAGTAATCAACTGCATTAAGAAACAGATACGGGCGATTCACAATGGTGCGCGTCCAATTGCAAGAGTTTGCAACGCGTTGGCCAATCACAAGCCTTGAAATCTGTCAACCCTTTTCAAACGCGAATTAACTCGACAGATTTTGTGTATTGTGGTTGGCCGACGCGTTGCAAACACTCAGAGGCGCACTTTTGTGAATCGCCCGTATTAATCATCAAAACTATAACCCCGTCTCTATACATTTTTTCGGATCCGATACATTAGTGCATGGTGATCAGCAGAGGGCGCAAGTTGCAGTTACGGGGCCAGAGCGAGAAAGCACTTGGCTGGTTCAGTCGTTCAGTGCACGGAGTGAACTTTTAAAATTAGTTAAGCCGTCGGAACAAGTCGCGCGCGACTTTGCAAAAATTCTAGTATGTGATCTCTTGACCATTTCATTGGATGCTTCAATAATTTATCTCAGGCTGGGTTTCATATTTCCAACGTGCATATAATCTGCATTCGTGTATTACAGCTCCAGCAATAAAGATCCGTTGTAACCGTTGAAGCACACTTTGCTAGAAATTGAGACCCTTCTATAGCTCTACAGATCGATGTCCCTGGAAGCCATTTGCGTTTCCCAGGAGATGTGTAGCTCACTCACTCCTGCATGGAGTTTAGTTTCAGTACTAACATGTTAAATAAAAGCATTTGTACAGCTATCTCATCGTAGAATTCCTCGAAAAAATTGGGCATTTCGATCGGCAGGGAGTGAAATGCATAGTTCCGTCTAAATGTTATCTGAATCAATATCATTTGTGACCCGATATAAAGTGGTTTTAACTTGGGCATTTAAACTGATTTCTATTTGATTTTGGCATGACTTTTTTTATTCGGGAAATAATTTTCAATTGGGAGAGATAGGCCTATTTTCTTCGAAAAGGGACCTTGGCACAACGAAAGCATTTTGAGAAAGGCTTTTCGAAAATGTGTCTCAATGGTAATAATAATGAAATCATTTTGGAAACATTTTTGAACACATGGTATGCTGTCAATGAAGTTTGAGATGTCAAGGTGTACCACCAATCTAGAAGCATGGCATTCCAAATCTTCATTCTCAAACAAAAATTAGGGGGGGGGAGAAGTTCATATGTTATATATTGTTTGCACAAATTTCGTCTCGTTTTGCATCTGTTAGGTGCACTATTCAATCAAACCGATCCAGTACGTGACATTCCAGCTGAACTCCAGGCATCCAAGACAGAGGATGGGGACGAATCGAAGACGCCGTCCGCAATTTTGCCGCTAGCGCCTGCCGCCTTCCTTCGCTAAATAGCGGGCGCGTGTCCCACTGTAGCCCGTGGGACCGCTAATTCTTGGGTGGGAAAATGTGACCTCGTCTAATCGACCGTACCGCAAAGGCTTTGGGAGTGTATCAGAGAGAGTAGGCCTAGGCAATGATTTTTCTCGGAAGCACCACAGTTCTTTTCAATTTCGTGTTGTCATATCATATCACGTAGCGTTCCACCGAACTGTTAAGGAATAAGAACCAAACGATCGCGAATGACGATTTGAAACCGATGACTGTTCCCAAAGATGTCACATTCCCGTTGGTTATGAAGAGGCCACCCTGTGTTTACAAACATCACGTACCAGTAACTTTCAGAAATTGAATGTACATCTGGCGGACACTGTAAAAAATATTTTATGCTTTTCGAAGATTGATAATCTAACTTTTGAGGCACACTTAGCAATTTGGGGAGTATTCTGGAAAACTACTGCGATACATAGGCCTGAAGGAGAATAAGTGGTAACGGTGAGTCACACTTCCAAGTCACAAGGGGAGCCTTCCAATGAGGCTCTCCATAGTACCACCATGACGGACGGAACAGAGTAGACTATCCCTTCTTCCATGGATCGACAAATTCCGCCCAAGTTTTCCACAGAATCGTTCAATTACCTTGGTTCTGCATGCATGACCCCTGCACATGAATCTATGCAAATAATTAACTGCATCTGCATGTCGTCGAAAGTTCGCGCTCCAATTATTTTATTGAACTCTTTTTTTCTTTCTATTTTCTTTCTTTTTTCTCCATTCTCTTACACAGCCCGGCGGTCGTGGCGCCGACTCAAGCTGAAACTGCAGACGTTGCACATACAATTCGATATTTTGCCAGACGTAGTTTTTCAGCTGCCAGAAAATCGATGTCAAACGGCAATTTTTTGGCCGATCATGTATGTATTTTTAACGACGTTTCGAGAAATGTGTCTATACAAGCCCAAGCCAACCCGCAAACTGACAAGATCTGTGCATGCCCTGACAGCTTCAGACTTCGCTGTTATACATATTTTGGGAGAGGATTGAAACTGAAACATTTCCCTGATTATCTGCAAAGCCACGCACTTGCCATGTTTATGCTAACGATGGAAATATTTGCCGGAGCATTTGTTTCAAATTATATACCTCACCTGCTGTTGTATTTGATGCGAAATTCTACCAACCTTTGGCAGCTGTTTTGTTTTGTTTTCTTGAAAGCATTTTTTAAAAATACAGCACGTTTACAATTTTGACCAGTGTTGGGTATTGTCACTATAGTTCTAATGGGCAGGCTGCATTGCCATCGTTCAACGTAAGTTAGGAAGAAACCTATAAAAGCTGCTACATTCCAAGATGCCGAAATAAGCCACTTGCGTGTTAAATTTGAATAAAATCTGGTGCACTGAGTTATCTGACTGCATGTAAACATGACGATGTGAATTCCCAGACTAAAACACTGTTGCCATACCTCGTGATTCGGAGCAAGCTTTCGCATAGCGACCACCATCTCTTGAATGGACTTGTTCCTTTGTGCCCTTCTTTTCCATTGAGAACAGTGTGCTTGTTGCAAGGCGTCTCTTATGTAACTAAGCAAAAGCTTGCCCCGAATCACGAGGTATAGCAAAAGTGGTTTTAGTAAGGAGGATTCAAGTTATGTTCACGTGAATTTAAAGAACCGAGTGTACCAGATTTGGGTGAAAGTTAACTCGCAAAAGGCTTGTTGGCAGTTTATACACTTGAAAACCGCAAAACCTTCCTCAGACAGAGAAAAATACATATGATGTCAGTGCAGTCATGTCGGTCTAATTGCCACCGCATGAACTGGTGTTTATATACTTGGCCTTTTTGCCCCATCTGACTAGGTTGCTATGCATTGCAACACGTAGTTCACCGCATATCAAGAGACTCAAAACCTTTATACATGTGCAGTCGCCAATATAATCATTTCATTCGACGTCAGCCAGTTGAAAAATGAAAAGGCACCGCTATTTGTCACGCATCACAGCAAATTAACGATTGGCATGGCAACGCTACCGGTACGTAGGAACTGCATAATTATGGGAGAATACTTGCAGTAGGTAGTTCATGGTCGGTGTAATTATTTTAGTGAAATGAAATAACCGCGGGAGTGCTCAAGTAGTGGAAACACAAAATAAGTACCTGAGAAATTTCACAAGTGCCTGTCATTAACTTAGGAGAGGATAAGGAGGAAGGAAAAGTCTCTGCCAGCTAAACATCTCATAATATTGACTTTTAAAAAAGTATATTTATATTTGCACGACTTTTATAGTTCGGTTTAGCCTTGAGATTGTTTCAAGCATTTTGTTCGAGTGGCAGTGACATGAAATTGACTAGTTCCATTGTGTGGTTTTGTTGTGGATAAATGCTTTGGCATATTCGACGATGAAAATGACAGGAACAGTGGCGCAGTCCAGAGGGTCAGACTTGCAACAATCCCCCTCTTGCCCCACTGCCTCTGAGATGTCACAGAACAGGAATAACATTACATGCCCAAGATGTGTTTTGCAACGGGCGCGGTTCTACAGGGGACTGGGGGTTCCAATTTTTTGTGTAGCACAGCGCAGTAGCAAAAGTTAAAAGCTGATGTCATGTACAAAAGGTCTAGACCCCCCCCCAAAAAAAACCCTGGTGCTAGAACCGCGTCTATTCTGCAACTGCATTTCAATGTATGGAAGCAAACAGAAACTTCGAGACTGGTTGATTTTGTCGGAGATTCCAACAGCAGCAGCACTAGCACCAGAACCAGCTCTCCCTCCAAAAAGAATCAAGGTCTTCCGGCTAATGTGAGGGGGAGGCAAAGTACCCATCAGCAGTGAACTGACAATCAACGGTGAAAGGATCACAGGTATTTTCGAGCAAAGTGCTGATTTTTTCCCCTTTCCCTCTTTCTTTTTCTCTTTACCCCCCCCCCATTTTCTCAGTATGGGACGCACCCCCTTGCCCTGGCCCCCACGTCTCCTGTGTGCTTGTGAGGCGTTGAACCATGGTTGAACTTCAGCATAGCCGTGGATTTTCACCCTCTCTTTCCCTTATAACCCCCGTCACTCAACTCCCATTACTTCTATCCCGTGTAAAGCCCCAATGAATGCCAACGAGCCTGAGAAACTCAACACTCCCCTGACCTCTCTTGGCGGGAGTGATCTCTCAGCTTTCCAGTGTAATTTCCACCCTCATCGTCATGCGTAGGACGACAAAAAAGTAACGATTACTCCCGATCGGCTGTGTCATATTGCCCAATCAGCCGACGACACCACACAGAATCCTGGACCCGCTAGCGGCCGTTGTTGAGTGGATCGAGGAGGCCCTGGGAAGAATATCTGATATGCCATGAATATTATCAGGCTGTATTTCTTCTGTGATTGAAGTAAACTGTCTGTGAGCGTGCTGTAACATCAACAGTCTGGTATTGCAAAAGCAGATCAGTTTCTATACATACAAAGTCTGTTTAGTGAAAGCCTCTGAATAGCACAATAAGTTACCAGCCAAAAAAAAAATTACTGTGTACTCGGGTTCCCAGCTGATGTTTGCTTATACGACTGAATTAACAGTCCCGCTAAACCAATCCTTGTTCTGCATCGCATATTGTCAAGCAGCATAACTTCGGTTCTCACATTTTTCACCTGGACAAAAAAAGTTGAACTGTTGCTATCGCCTGACTAAACCGTACCGTTAGCTAAAATCTTCCAAGCCTAGACAATAAGGCGCCACGCCTTCTAAGGTGAGTGCTGCTGCTGCTTTAGTGTCATCATATGGAGCTAATAGCTCCATGGTGTCATAGAAACAGAATTTTTAAGGGTAGAGGACTATCCACTCTGTGCAACTTGTCATGTTTCGGTACCTTTTTTAAAATTAATCCATTTTACCCCTCCCCAAGACCCCATGATTCCAAGTGAATACTCGTTCTGTACTACATACGCAGAGTTTTGTGAGGTAAGTGAATTGTTTCCGACCCCGGAAGTCGGTGCATCCTGTATTGTGCCATAAGTTTCCTCCAATCACTTAACACCTGTTTTGGAATAGTCGATTAGTAAAAGGTAGTTTCAAATATCACGAAAGGCAGGGGGAAATGTAAATCCAAACTACCTTTTTTTCTTTGGCATAGTTACGGTAACTGTACATTGAATTGAGAATTAAACATTACAAAAAATCATGTGGCAATTCTCTTCGCTGAAATAATTTCTTAACGGGCTCCAAAATAGTAACATATACCATCCTGCAAGTGTCGTTTACGTCAAGAAAGTGCCCACCCCTATAAAGCACTATGTTGACTTCCAGGACTTCATACTCCAGGCGTGCACACACTAACCCATTGTGATGCGCAACGCATACGATATGTTGCGCATCCACAGTTAACGAACACTGCACGGCAACGGTGTGTAAAATTGTTGCAGGTTGCTCTGTATTTCCTGTCAAAAGCAGCGATTTCTGCCGGAGTTTTTGACGATAAACCGATTAGTCTGGAATGGAGGAGGAGCTGGACGAAGGGGATATATCAAAAGTTCGTATTCTGGAGAGCTTGCGCATAAATATCGGTGAGCATTTCAGCTTTTTTGGGGGTGTTTGTAACGTCGACTGTCGATGTCAGAGCATGGTCAAAGTCATGCTGCTCACAAGAGTATTGTCATTCACGTGTGCCGTACTTGTGTGGCACCGTTACTAAGCTTACACTAATAAGAAGTAGGCCTAGGATATCTGTATGGTTGTGCGCTTACGGTACCGTTTAGCCACCTTTGTCAGCTCATGATGTAGGCTTCTACTTTTCTAGATAGGCGAACTGAACAAAGTTGTATCTGGACTAACCGGATTTTTGGAAAGAGTTCCAAACTTCCATGTACGGACGCCACGTGACACCCTGTGCACAAACCCTACGGGACTGGTCTGAAACATTTTCAGTGTTTTCTAATAGAGCGACTTGGTTTTTTTCCCTCCTAAATTGAACTTTTCTTGACATGTTTTTGCCTTCTCACGACTAATAAGTAATAGGTCACTGTAAGGAATAATTACTGGCGTCGGTATATGGAACTCTTCCGTACTTTTTCGCATTGTAAGTTTTGTGTGAATCAATGAGAAAATACAGGAATTTTTTCTGTGTCATGAGTTGGGTTTTTTTCTTAGTTACAGACATGACAGACCTAGACGTGTACAGAGGCCTCCGTTATGTTGTATGCAATTGGTCGATCTACCATGTCAACACAATTGCCCAAATTCTTTGTGTGATAGGTCGATTTTGTATAATTGAAATCTCCAAGTTTACTGCCCATTTTTGAAATGATCTTCACAATCAAGAAATAGAAAGAAAAGGCTGATGGTGAAATTTTCGACAAATCATGCACTAAGATCTAGGGATAGGTACTTCCAGAACTGTAACTTGTAAGGCTATCTGTAAGGTTTGTATAAACCTTACAGTTCTGAATGTAGGGATCGCACAAATCAGTTGATTGCACCCAGCATTTTGGCCCAGTGTATGCTACATATTCAGCACATAGCATCATGGTGGTAGGAAAACATCATGGAGGCTTTGCAACTAAAACTTTCTTGGGCTAAAAAATTTGTGTAAAATTGTACTTAGTAGAAAGGAAATAAACAAAACTATGTGGCCTGCAGACAATTTCATTGGGAAATCTTGTTGGCAGAAACCTTCAATTGCTCCCTGACGTCTGCATGTGACCCTAACAGTCATAATGTTCCTAGCTTCATAACCTGCTGTCAAGTCTGGGAAGAGTGACGCCAGTAATTATTCCAAGAGTGACTTATTTGCCATCAGAAAGCAGGATCATGTCCAGAAAAGTTCAATATAGGAGGGAAAACACCAAGTCATTCACTAAGGAAACACTGTTACGAACAAATTTATACGAACATAATTTTAAACAAGATGTAATATGCAGCTTGGTCTTGGTGGTGGTTCCACTAGGCCAGGAGTTGAGAAGAACACCGTAGTTTGGGCAGACATTCCCATTCTCTCAAGAGTGAAGAGAGTCCAATGAAATACATCTTTTTATGTGTAGGCTACGTGTTTACACTGCCTATTGCATGTATTGTACGTGTATGCCATACATTGTTACCACACAATGAAATAGTAATCTAACACACATTAAACAAAACATTGGGTGTCACCATTTCATGTCAGTTGTTTTCACACAGTTGCAAATGTTCTGTAGAAAACCCCTCTGTGTTTGTGAATTTAACTTGGAAGCCAATTTTGCAGTTTAATCTAGGAGTTAATTCATCTGGATGTTGTATTCAAGAAAAAAAATGTCAAGATGGTATTTATTAAAAAAACAAAAATGAAGATCTCCCTGATACAAGGTACATGTACACATGTACATGCACGTCTTGAAATCATCTGGTTTGGTGTTCCATTTGGATAGTTTGCTAATTGATGGTAGGTACGTGTAATTCTTCATGCAACACAAAATGGCAATCCCACAATGTTTTGTACATTTCATAGGTGTTCTTGTAAGTTGTACTAAATGCTAATGTGTACATGATGTACATGTATGTACATGTAGGCCTACAGACTAAAAGTTCAGTGAACTCCATGATTGGACAGCTAAATTATTAAGGCCACAAGAATCCATTCTAATGCGTTTCTCGGGCAAGGGAACACCAAGAATATGAAAGCACCAACTTTTTCAGTCTCAATTTGGGAATTATGCACCAGTCTCCTCCCCAAGAAAGCACATGAAAAAAGAAAAATATATCAACCCTGATCAACATCAAAAACCCCCATCCCCTCAAGCATAGGGAATATTATTAGAATCAGATCATCTCATAATTTAGACTAGTAGGAAGATGCGAAACTGAAAAACCAACTCCTTTTTACCAGTACTAATAAAGAGGCTTTTTCATTGAGGTCATTGCCCACAGTGCACCAGGCAGTTCATGGCAAATCCTGGATCTGTTTATTATCTCTTCACTTCCGACTTTACTTGTGTACATGGCATGCAAAATGTGTGGATTGTACACACACTGCTTGTGCTGAACCTACATGTAATGATGATTAACACTGCAGACAAGAGTAATGCATCACTTTGTTCCAAGGTCATGTCTGGAGTGCACTGTCCTACTGTGCAAATCGCATTTGGCGGGACTGTGAGGAATATTTTAAATCCTGTGAATATCTTAACAAATTCTACAGGGTTTCACTGTACAGTTACCTAAAGGTCGCTACATGCCTCTGGTACATCCACACATAGAAAGTACTCAGTACAAAGATACATATTTTGAAATACAGCTTCATGGAATTGTGAAATAAGTCAGAGCCAATGTTTGTGACAATCTGAGGGCATACGTGTGTTTCCAAATTGTATCATGTCAGGAAAAAACTTTCCCCTTTTTTACGGATATGCGCAGCTTCCAACTACAATGTAAGTGGCATTGTTGATAGCTGTTTGACTAATTTCAACATTATTTAGCAAATATCAAAATTGAGGTACATGTAGATGTTGTCTGTGGATGTACCAATAATTTGCGTGGTCGTAGGCATGTCCATGTACATGTACATGTTTCTATTATAACAGCCTTGTACCCTGTCAGTAGACTGTAGCACCCTGCTGAATACAGTGGTATCCAACAGGTTGAGCAAACAGGTGTTGACTAACTTGTGGTTTACCCAAACACTGTTCCCAAAGTTAAAGTGTAAAGTACCTGGTACTGGAAATTAAATAGGTATCATACATGTACATGTATGAACCTCTATTACTGATGAACTTGGACAGGGGTCCTACATGTAGGTCAATTTAAATATTTACAAATGCACAGTCAACACACCTGGGGCACTACATGTACACATTGCTGTAGACAGTGTGGCCAATCACTGGGGAACTGGGTACAGTTTCAGAATTGCCATGGTTCATGGCAACCCCTGAATACATGTTATCTTAAAAGCTGCCACACTGTAGGTGTTTCCTCACTTGCAAGGTCAGGTCACTTGTCTACTGTGTGTTCTGCACCCAAAGAGTCTTGAACCTTGGCCCACCTGTTTTCTTGCCAAGTTGTGACCAAAGAGCTTGACCTCAACCCTATACAAAGGGATGGCACCCTCCCCGTTTCATTCTGTGAGCATGATTCACATGAAGGGCAAGACGGGTGTGAGTGCACAGAATGTGGCACTTCTATACCAATTTTGTTCACAGAATATTATTACATGCACATATAGTACATGTACTGTACATGTACATGAAGGCATGTATTGTTGGGCTATAACAACCTGCCCAGTCCAATGTGTCACTCCACCATTTCCATGTATTAACTACATGTATGTGTATCTGTTCGTTATGTTACCTAATCTGGCAGTACAGTACTAGTACACATGTACATGCACATGTAGGAGATACCAGTATGATACATACATGTATATGACATGGTCTACATGTCAACCAACTTCCAAGAACTTTTTGGTTTCATTTTCTTGTTTGGTGACCAGACCTAAATCTGGTCACTGGTTAGTGGCACATACAGATGTACATGTACATTTGCCAGGTATGAATTCTGTCCTCGGCTAATACAGCACATGTTTCAGTGTTTGTCTACCTTTCGTCATGTTGATTGAATTTCTCTGAAGTGAAATATCTGAACATCAATAAATTGATTGCTTCCTCGCACTGATGCGACAGCGCACTGCGCACTTCCCTTCTCCAATTCCATATAAGTGGTGCCAGCTTGCACATGTACAGGCCCATATTTTCAAATCAAATTGAGCAAGGCTGTGAAAACATTGGTACCATTGTAGTCTCTGCATACTGTACAGTTCCCCCCATGTTTTTGTTCCTAGTTTTTCTTTTTGAAAAATGGGAAGCTGAGAATGCAAATTGAATCTTCCCCACTCAATCATGCTGCATGAACTTTCAAATCAAATTTTTTGGAGGCTGTAAAAACTACACAAGTGGTTTGTTTCCCTAAAAACTTGAAGCACTCCGCGACAGTTCTTCATTACTAAACGTCGGTGTTATGTTGTTAAAGCTTTTTTCCTGTAGAACTTTGAACTTGTAAATCAAATCTGAATGGCTTGCTCCACCAGATAACTGTGGCAGTGTCAATATTTGTTGTGTTTCACAGTTGTTAGCATTATGAACTCGGATACAAATGATCAGGAGAAAGGAAATGAAATTCAAAATAAAAAGTTAAAGGCTAACAGCACCCGATATTGTTCCCATAACATTTCCTGTGTAACTAGTGGATGCCAGTTCTTTGAGTGAACTGTTTGCACTTCATATCTAATACATGTACTTGAGGTTTGTATTTCAGCTTTGGATCCAGCAATTACAGAAGGGAGGGGGCATGGGATCCCCTTGGGCTTCCAATGTGTGTGACATGTACTACAAACACATAAAGCCATGTACAGTCTGCTTTATGCATGCAGCAATACTTGCTTGCAGCACTGTGTGACGTGCGTGTGCTGAACGATTGCAAACTAACAGAGCCATCGTTCAAAACTATTTCGCTGGGAGAATCAGAAATGATTCTATCATTCCTGTTAGGTAGGCCTAATGTTTGATTCTTTTCGTTTCATTTTTCTCACAAATGGCAAAGT